TGGAGTTAATATTGATATCACTATTTGATTTGCACGTTTTTACTTAATGATTTTGACTCTGAATTAATGCAATCATTTCTTATGGGTTAACTATATATAACTAATTTTAGTCCATTCAAAAGAATATTGATATCACTATTTTTTTAATTTTTATATTTTTTTCAATAATAAAAGCTAAAAAACTTATGTTACGCCAACACCTCACAATATAACATTGACAAGTGGCAAAAGAAATTTTATTCTACACAAAACTACTATTAAATTAGGGAAAAAAATGTACTATGCAACTTTTAGCAACATAAACCTTGTTGTTAATATAAATTTTCAGCAACAAGAGATATCTTGCTGAAAGTGGGGTTCAATTACATAGGAAAATGATTATCGAAAAATATCAACAACATGGGGTATGTTGCTGAAAGTGGAGCAACTTTTTAAGGAAAAAAATGTACTATACAACTTTTAGCAACATAAATCTTGTTGTTGATATAAATTTTCAGCAACAAAGAATCTTATGTTGCTGATGTATTGTTGCCGAAAACTTGAATTTTAGTTGTGAACTCTAAATAGTTTTCTCTCAAAATTTAATGGTTAATTTTTAGATTTCATTCCGATACAATCCGTATGGTCTACAGTAATGTCATTTTGCTACATAATGCTACAGGTGACCCTATCAGGCTTGCTGAATTTCATAGACGGACTATGGTTGAGCTGTGGGGACAAGAGGATCATCATCTTCACCACCAACCACAAAGAAAAACTGGACCTGGCGCTGCTGCGTCCAGGGCGGATGGACGTGCACGTCCACATGTCCTATTGCACTCCATGTGGATTTAGAGTTCTGGCTGCCAATTACATCGGAATAGAAGATCACGAGCTCTTCGGAGAAATTGCGGAGGCAATCAGGACGACGGAGGTGACCCCAGCAGAGGTGGCGGAGCAGTTAATGAGAAACGATGATGATCTCGACGCCCTGCTTAATGACCTAATCCAATTTCTTAAGGTGAAGAAGAGGGAAAATGAGGAGGCAAAGACCAAGAAGAATAGTGCACAACAAGAATCGATGGCTAGTGAAGGAGGGCAAACTGACGAAGAAGAGAAAAAAAGTAGAGAATGAATTTAATATATCTCAGGATTAAATTAAGTGTACTGTTAAGGCCAAAAAAAGACTAGGTGTACTGTTTTTAATTAAAGTTATTTTTCTGACATGTCAGGTTTTGTTAAGATTAGTTAATGCAAGTTTTGTTTTTTTGGGTGAAATTAGCTAATGCAATTTGAAACTTGAAAGCCGAAGATGCGAACCAAAGTAACAGAGTGAAGTAGACCTTCCACCCACCCCACCAGGGTTTTAGGTCCCCTAGTGCCCTTTTTCTCCTATCCCATGCAAGTCCCTAATTACATATGTTAAAAAAAATCAAAGTTAAGTAATAAAAAATAGGGTTGGTTTAATCTATATTCTTGTAATATATATAGATTAATAATGTATTAATTATATTTTTTATATTTAAATTTTATAAAAAATTATTTTATTTTTATTATTAAGGTCATATGCATATTTTTAATTAAACAATTGATAAAATTAAAGTTATTTTTTATTTTTAATACAAATTAATTGTAAAAAGTTGTAATAAATATACTTTTAACTTACCTCTCAAATTCTCCAAAAAATAAAGTTTAAGATGATTATTTTTTGTTTGTAGTAAATTATGGTCAAAGCTTCCAAATAAAATTGCTTTCGTGATGAAAAAGTGGAGTTTAATTGTCCTAAATCAAGGATTACTTTTGCAGTGATCAAATTGTATGTCATCTCGAGTTATCTTGCGTAGGTTACATTAAATGTTTAATTTGAAAGGAACATAGGGGAGGAAGGAGAAAAAAATTTTTTGTTTAATTGTTTAATTAAATTAAAGTTTTGTTTGTTAGTGTTATATTAGATTATAATTATAACAGTTAATATTTTTGATCCTTTATTATTTAAAAAATATATAATGTGTAAAACATTATCAAACAAAGTATAAGATGTCTATTGACTATTTTTTTTTCCCTTTTTTTCAGTTTCATTGAACCAAATATACTATAAAATTATTTTTATGTGACTATTTTTTTTGAAACAGTCAAAATATATTTATGAACCAACTTAATCAAATATTAATAGTCAATGAAAAGCAAATCTTTCTTCCTTCATAGGAATAACATAATAAACATTAGAATAAAGTAAGAAGAGAGACATTAGCTGGAATTGCCAAAATGGTATCAAGACCTAATTCAACGTGGGGATTATTAATTTCCAATTTCGGTTTTTGTAGATTAAATAATATATACCGAAAAGAAGCGTTGACAAAGGACTTTTGTGGGGGCTTTTCCCAAATTTGGCAACTTGTCATTACAATGATATAGTTAATATACATATATGGTTAGTGTTTATCCGCCTTACTCTCAAAAAATTAAGAGAAAAAAAAAATAAAAATCACCTTAATGCATACTTTAAAAATATAATAGTTTAATTTTTTTCAATAAAAATTTATTGAAACGACGTAATTTTAGAATGATTTTTCTTATAATCTTTAAGAAATAAGGTTGAGAAGCACTTTTTTCTATATATATATATATTTTATAAATGGAAAGGTGAAGTAAGGATATGTAAAAATAATTCTTCATCCTCTCATGCTTTGGTGGTATACTTTGGTAGAGTTATTTATCTTTCTAGTTATTCAATTTTTAATTTGTACATAAGAAAGTAGTAGTTATATTTTATATAAATTGCTTCCAACCTCCTATTTCAAGAGACAAACTAACAAAAACTTAGATAAATTAATATTTATTAATTTAAATTTTTTAATTTATAGTTAAAATTAAGAGTTTAAAGCACTACGTAAAAAAAATTAACCTTAGGTGTAACAGAAAAAACAAAAGGAGACACTTATGGGCCCAATTGATTTTACCCTTTCATGTGGGTTGTGGTGGATCTTGGGTCTACTCCTTCCTCTTATCTCCATCCGGACTGGACACAAGTCACACAACACAGAAGAATGGGCTGAGCATGATTAAGAAATCTCTGTCCTCGGCAAAACCATTTCATAAGTCCTTAAATTTATCCCATTTTAGCATATAGCCCCCTGATATAAAAACAAGCAATCCGCTCTTCGAACCGCGCAAATTGCAGCAGTTAACCCTCCGTTAAGATATTAACTAATGCGAACAATTAAAAGGAACACTTGATCTTAGTGCATTAATGTGAGAATTAAATGAAATTAATAATTAAATTGAAAATGATTTGTTTAAGTTGTATTCTCAAGGCACAGATTTAAAATGTATTAAATAAACCTTTTCATTATAAATTTAGGTCTCATTTGGTATAGTGGTTTTGGGGTAACGGTTAACGGTTTTACCTAAACCGCTAAATATAGGTGTTTGGTAAATTTACATATTTCGAAACCGCTATAAATAAAATGTTCGGTAAAATTTTTATTTAACGGTTTGAGACTAGCGGATAATGGTTAGAGTCCAAACCATTAGCGGATTGAAAAAACTAGTTTATGTAGCTTTTTATACCAAACCGCTAACGAATTAAAATTTTTTAATTTTATTTACAAATTTATCTATTTTAATTTTTAATTTGTGGTCACATTTTTTAATTAATAATTATCTAATAAATTTCAATTTTGTTTTTTTATCTTTAATAACATTAAGTGATTATAATATTTTTTTATACATTAATTTATAATTAAAAAATATATTATTTTAAAAAACAAAATTTGTTAAT